TTAGGGTCACCGACCTGAATATCAAACCCCTGCTCCTGCCAGCAATGCATGCGGTACAGGGGAACACCTTCCCTCAACAAGGGGCCACAGTTGGAACACAACAGCCCATGGTGACCAGAAGTTCAAAGCTGTGCTTGCTGCAATGCTCTGGAAAGGGTCAAAACCAAATGGCTCTTTGCCCTTCATCACCAGGACACAGACAACTCTGCGGTGCAGGCACAGGATGACAGTATTCTGACAGCCTTACTGGAGCCACAGCTACTGAACGAGTCCCTGCGCTGCTACCTAGCCCTAACAAATACTCAAAGCATAGCACAGTGTACATGAATACTCGTAGCACTAATGAAATGCTGGAAAACACAGCAGTCAGTCAAAGGTACCTCTAGTCCTCTTGGTCCATGGGATTAAACAGGATTCCTTGGGTGATCCTCCAGATTACAGCCTCTGACACGTATGGGCATGACGCACACCTACGCTATGTATATCCATTTCCACATGCCAGCTACTGGACCACCCAGTATAATTCTGCTTTTAGAGAGCACAATCTGCTTTACTTCTATCACATGCCTAATAAATAATTTTGCAGTGCTTGGGGATGGGGAGGGTTAGGCTAAATGGCTACTTGTCAGAAAACAGATTCAAATTCTTATTCAAACATCTAAGGACAAGACCCACTTGAATTCATCCCCTGCCACAGAAATTTCACTTGGTGAGCTGCCCTGCATAAATCTGCACATAACACACTTTTCCAGCAGGCAATATTTTGTAAGGCTTAGTATCTGACAGATACAGCCCTTTCAATGAAAACAGTATGAAACTGTCATGATTACTTGAGCAGACATCATTGACAAAAGGAAATTCGTGCCTGAACTGTTGCTGCAGAAATATTTCAGGCAGTAATTTTTCAAAGAGAATATAGATCTGGAGGGACATTGCCAAGGTTTTAAAGATCAAAATGTGTGACTTTCAGTGTTATAATTGGATGGAAACAGTCCTTCAGATATGAAACATCAGGTTCGCTTTGGCTTTTAAATCAAGCACCACATTTGAAGGATTTCTGTAGGACCTATACATCCCACTGTCTGTTTCACCCCCTTGGTAACAGTGAGCTCTGCTGACAGAGCCAACAAGGCCAGCAAGGGTAAACAAATCCCTTCTGACATGACAAAGTGTTACCCAGTCAAACACTGCAATTCACATGAAAAAAACAAGACTACTTCAAATCTAGCTCTACTGAAAATGCAGGCCTTGATTTAAACTCCCTTTTGCCAAACAAGCAGCAGGACAATTACCCATTCTATTAAAGCAGCGATAGAGAAACAAAGGCAGTACTTGGCCTTTGGTGGTATTTAAGGTAAAGTAACTGGAAGGAATGGCACTGTCTCCTCACCAGGATGAGAGCTCATGCTCCAGTCTGTGAGCAGGGTAGGGCACCCTGTCCAGTCACTGGAACAGTGGCATTAGCCAGGACACAGGTTCAGTCTCCCTGCACCCCACCCTCTCCTCCTCCCCTGACCATCCCAAAGGCCCCCTGCCCTATTCTGGGAGGGGCCAGACAGCACTGAGGAGGCCAAGCTGGCTTTCCTCTCCTCCTGACAGGACTACATACCACCATCTCCACAAAATCAGCAAACGGCTGTGGCTGGGACCACAACCAGGTTTGTCACCAGCAGCTGTAATGCTCTCAGAGACCTCACGAACCTCCGACTCTCATGAGGAGGGGCTCAGGGACCCCTGTTACATTGTCCCACACTGAGTGACTGGCTGCAGGAGCAAGAATCCCAGCCAAAGAAACACCTTATATGGTCTGAGTCACCTCAGACACGACATCGTGGCATCCATCACCCTCCAGCTTGAGCAGCCATCCCAGCTCACCTGCCAGGCAGTTGGCATCCTGCTGTGTCCCAAGTTTCATGGCTGGAGAGATACCTGATGTCCCTGACCTCCATCAGCAGCATGGACAGGACCTCCAGCATCCCTACAATGGACTTGTTCGAAAACTCATCTTCACTTTCCCAATGCAAACCATAATGAACAATTTTTCAGAGAGGTTAAAGAAGTTGTTTGTGTATATATATTTTTAACGTCCATTTTTTCCCCTGGAACCCTTTAGCAAGACCAGTTTCTGAAGGAAAAAAGCTTTCATTAGATCCTTTTAAAGAAATCCAACAGTTAAATTTTGTTTCCAGAAGGGATACACAAACCTAAGGATTTCCCACCAAACCTGGACAAAATACTACACCTATAAATTCCTACAGAGGTGCCACTTCCTTATTTCACCTCCAGTTGGAAACACAGCTAAGCTCAAAACCCATGACTTTATCAAGAGTAGCTGTCATGAGGAGGAAAGCTAACTTCTCTAAAGTAACCTGGGCAGTCCTTCACAAAGGGAACACATGTGACAAGCTGCAAAATAGTCATTTCACTAATCAACAATCTGAAGAACACAGCTACAGCAAAAAGTTGCTTCCCTTCTGCAACCCCTTCCAATCCTCTCTTCCTCACCCTCTCCAGAGGCAAAGCCTGGTTGGTCAGGGTAGGTTCAGCCTCCACTGAGACACACCAGTTATTCAAAACAACAGCAATGCCAGGTGTGAACGTGACCACAGCCCAGGGAAGGACCTACATCCTCCGCGCAGGTCCCCATGCAGTGGTGCAGCAGCACCGGCTCTCCCTGCCATGCCAGCAGCTCTGAGCATGACACCAGCTGCAGATTGCATTGTGTCTCTTATCTCTGCACCTGCCACTGCTTGGGGCCATAAAAAATCCAGACCTGGCTGTGTGCAGACAGGAGGGGAAACGATATCACTGACTTGTGGTTAACCTGCATTTGGGATGTTGCAAGGCCACTGCCATGGACAGATCTGTCAGCCCACCGAAATTATAAAGGTGATACTCTCAGCTGAACTCAGGCTGGTCTTATAACTGGGACTCACAGGTGGGACTCACCTGCTGCAAGCTAAGATGGAGAAAGCACAGCCTTCAAACACACATTGGTAAATGACTGAGAACATCTCCATCTGACTTTCCAACACACAAATGTTTCTAAAGAGAAGCTTTTTCACATGGATGTCTTACCTAGAACACCAATACCTATGTTTTTCCAGATAGAATCTGCCCTAACTTGCCTCTGAAGTTTCACAGGCATTTCAGGCCATCACCTCTGTGCTTTCAAGCCCAAGACATGCTTGTGCCCTACTCTTGTTGCTTGGTTTCCTGAGAAGATTCCCAAGTAACTGGATGATATCTTCCTCCTTCTCAGTTTTGGTTCAATTTGCACATGATACTTGCCCACAACAATGGAACATGATGACTGAGGAGCTGAGGAAATGGTACAAATTCAGACCCATCTCAGACCACACCAAACCTCAGCTCTTGAAGCAGTGGTTCCTATGCATGAACAGTCCCAGGAACTCACTGCAGACCTGTGTGTCTCTGCTTTCAGAGCCACAGCTAGCTCAGTGTTTCCCGAGAACAAGTGCTTTCCTCTGCAGAAGACATTTCATGATATAAAAAAGAGAGGTATATTTTTAAAGCTGGAATCACATCAACCTCCAGACTATTAGGACTACCAATAATTAACATCCTAAAGAAGTTGTCTGCCCTGTCTGCTCCCAGAATGTATGGCACAAACAACGCATTGTAACAATTTTGCTGTGGGATCCTGATTAATCTAACTAGAAATAACTGCGAAAGTCATAATTAAAGTATTTCTAAACAGACCTCCATCAATATCTGCAGGCCAACACCCAACTGTATATGCATGTTTACAAATACCACAGCTCTCTATGTTCTGTATGCTTTACCTTTACCTAACATCAACTAGTCACGGCCAAGCAACCCTGACATCAATGCTTCGCCTCCAAAGTGGTGAGTAAATCAAATGGCTTCATTCTCACCCTTAACCTGCATTTAGGGAGACACGAACACAAAGCATTTCGGCACCTGTGCAATCATTCTGGATTTGGGGTTCCAGATTCACGCATGTGCTAACAAAGGCGCATTAAGATCAATTCTGGTCACTCTTTAAGCACCTGGAAATCTCTACAGGCAGCAGTGCTGATGTAGCTGTCCTGTCTCAACTGCCTCCTATGCATCAGCTTTAGGGACTGTGCACTGTAAGCCAGCACAGTGCCCAGCACCCCTGAAGCACCTTCCTAACAGCTCTAAAGCATTCAACTGCCTGGGCCAACATCCTGCATTTACACAGCATTCCACGCCTAGAAATACCCCAAATCGTTTTGCAAGCTCCATGGCTTTGATGTGCCTGTTGGTAAAAAGCACAAAGCACTCACTGCTGAGATACACCAGACATTTAGTAACAAAACCCAATTCTTTAGCCTTGCCTAACAATAGCAGGCAAAAGCCACAGGCAGGAAGTAAAAACATAATAATAAATTGAAAACACAGAAGAAATTCAGCCAACACACATTCCAGATGAGTGTTTGGGAGATTACAGAATAAAACTGACATTTCCCTCCTGAACAAACATATTCTAAAGTAGCAATTTCAATATTTTTCAAAGAACAAGAAACACTAAAAGCTTCTTTCTATAGCAATGTTTTTCTCTTGTCCTCCTTGACTGTCTCCAAAAGAACTGGGAGCAGCTCTTTCCTGCAGACACTGTAATAACATATGAACCCAGAGTGTAAGTAGCTATCAAATAAAATCCTCCCAGAACTCTGCCAAATCATAGAATCACAGAATTCTTTAGGCTTGAAAAGACCTTTAAGACTGTCAAGTCCAACTGTTTACCTAGCACTACCAAGTCCACCACTAAACCATGTCCCTTAGTGCCACATCTACATGTCTTCTAAATACCTCCAAGGATGGTGACTCCATCACTTCTGGGAAGCCTGTTCCAATGCTTGACAATGCTTTCAGTGAAGACATTTTTTCCTATCCAATCTAAACCTCCCCTGGCACAACTTGAGGATCTTTCCTCCTGTCCCTTGTTACTTGGGAGAAGACACTGACATCCTCCTCACTACAACCTCCATCGTAGAGAGCAGCAAGGTCTCTCCCAAGCCTCCTTTTCTCCAAACTAAACAACCCCAATTTCCCTCAACTGTTCCTCATAAGACTTGTGCTCCAGGCCCTTCACCAGCTTCATTGCTGTTCTTTAGGCAGGAATGAGACTCTCCAGCACCTCAGTGTCTTTCTTGTAGTGAGGGCCCCAAAACTGAACACAGGATTTGTCACCAGCACCTTGTACAAGAGGACAATCACTTCCCTAGTGCTGCTGGCTACGCTACTTCTGATACTAGCCAAGATGCTCTTCACGTTCAGCCAGCCGTCAACCCACACCCAAAGGTACTTTTCAACACAGCATCAATCTTTTCCTTCCTTGGGAGAAAGATGTGCCAGTCATGCTTCTTCCATTTTTGTCCTCAGTGCATTCCTGTAAAGAGAATGTATCAACACAAACTAGCTCTGACAAATGCTCCACTTCCCAGAGGTCTGTCCCACCTGGCTGCAGGATCTGGTTTTGAACACAAACAAAAATGCAGGTCATTGAAAGGTCCTGTTGCCCTCTGGACCCCCAGTTTGCCTGTGTTTGTTTTAAATAACGCTTTACCTTGGTTCCACCTGAATAGTTACACAAAATGAAATAAGGTTGAAATAGTCCAGGTAGCATGTGACAGCTGAGACAAGCACAATGGTCTCTTCTGAAGTGGTATAAACTTCTTCCTGACCTGGAGGAGAAAATAAATCAGACTGATCCCAAGAAACAGCTTATCTGTAAAATGGGATATGCCTGTACACATCACTTGTGCTGTTCATAATCTCTGTACTCATCCATGTCCACATCCGAATCAAAGAGGGAGTGTCCAGTGTAATCCGTGTCAGGGGTTTGAGAAATACTATTCCCTTCCTCATCAAAGGTTTCTGTCCTTGAATAAAAACTGAAGTCCTGCAAAGGGGAGTACGTCTTGCTTGCTTCACTGCTTTCCTCAGATTCATACAGAGTGTTATCATCATCATGGTGCCATTCTGGCCAAAATTTCCTCCTTATTCTTTCACAATACATAGCAAGGTTGATCAGTTCACCTGCAACACAGCACAACAAGCTCCAGTAAATACATACAACCAACAATGCTCTAACTCATCTGTTAATCCAGAAACAGGTTAGCACTGTATGGAAATAAATTGTGCAGATTCTTTCCAAGGAGGTTTCAAGTTCCAAGATCCCATCAATCCTCTGTTTGTAACTCAAAACACGTATTATTAACCTACATGAAACAAGAAAGGTTACACCGGAATGAACATAAATGCCTGTAGCAAAACTACTATCCCAAATTCAACCTCTACTGAAATAAATCAGGACAAGATACTGACACTAAGTAAAATTCTTGCTTATTTCTTCAGAAACCCGGTTTCTAAACACAGAATATGATCCTATACATACACAATACGCTTATTAAAATACAGTGAATTTGGGGTTTTCACCACCAGATGGCAGCGTTGTCTGCAAGATAAATTCATGCCTTATGTTTATATAATGTCCTGGGTTTAGCAGTAGCATTTTTCTCCTTCTTGGTAGCTGGTGCAGTGCTGTGTTTTGACTTTCGGGCTGGGAACAGAGCTGAAAAAAATGATGTTTTGGTTTGTCCAAGGACTTTGTGAGCCTCATGCTCTGCCAGGGAGGAGGGGAAGACAGGAGGAAGCAGAGACAGGACACCTGACCCAAACTGACCAAAGGGGTATTCCATACCACAGCACGTCATGCCCAGGGGGGAACTGGGAGTTACCTGGAAGGGCAGAGGGGACTGCAGGGTTGGAGGAGGTATGGGTCGGTGCTTGGTCAGTCTGGGGGACCGAGTTGTCGGTTGGCTGGTGATGGGGTGTTGTATTCTCTTCCCTTGTTATTTCCTTTATCATTACTATTATTGGTGGTAGCAGTAGTGATTTGTGTTATACCTTAGTTACTAAACTGTTCTTATCTCAACCCATGGGAGTTGCATTCTTTCTGATTCTCCTCTCCGTCCCTTTGAGAGTAGGGGGAGGGCAAGAAGGGAGGGGAGTGAGTGCACCAGCTGTCTGGCTCGGGTTAAACCACGACAATACACAACTATGCTTAGAGAAGAAATCACAAAAAACTTCAAACTAGTCTATGCCTCCTGACTGTTACTTCAGTAGCACTCTTGCACAGAGTAGATCTACGGGTCAAATTCATTCTTTTACACCTGTTTCACATCTTTTTCCTCCTTAGCTCTTCCCATTTTTCACACTGTGTGGTTTGATTCTGAAAAGGGATGCAAACACACTTTCACATGCCTGTAACCGCACACAAGATTAAAAAAAAAAAAAAAGAAGAAAAACAGAAGTGTGGAGGGGAAGGGCATGTTGCTTTCCAATTCACAGAAAATGACAGTGACTCCAAAGCAAGGCTGCACTTTCTCCTTGCCCAGCACCTCCAGTAACAGCAAAGGCTGTAATTTCCATGACACCTGCAGTCTTATAATCAATGAAACTACTCAGTTGAGCAGAATTTGGCTCATGGCCATGCTTCTGTCTTCTCATACTTTACCCAGCATTCATTCCTTAGAGACATTCAGGTTTTGCTGAATGTTAAACAGGGAAAAAATCAAAGACTGGGACAGAAACAATTACTGTGTAGAAAATAAAAGAGAAGAAAAACAAGAACTTGGAAAGAAAACAACATTATGGGATACAAATGCTACATGAAAGCCACAACAGTCTGCGATGCAGCTGAAACATTGCTACATTCCTCAAATGTTCATACGAAGTGCTCCAAGTTTAAAGACTGCGAATGCCACCAAGAATTTCTTCATCAGAGATCACTTCAGCTTTCTTACCTTTGATTAGTCTCTCTGGTCGAGTCCCTGGTAGTGTCCACATTGCCTGTGCCAGATGCCCAAAGACAGTGGCATCAACAGTGGAAATCTTTGGTCCCATAATGTACTTCTTGTCACCTGTAAATACAACAGAAAACATTTCTCAACCGAATGTCACTTCTCAATTAACAATAAATAAATTTTTTAAAATCCTTGCTTATATCCTTAGCATTTTTTTTAAATTGAAATCATTTAGCTGAAAGGTTCACTCTTTCAAGGACAGGGATTCCATGTTGAATACAGTTCAAAAACTGTTTGCTGGGGTTCAGTGGGTGAAATCCATTACTGCAGCTTCCCCTGTGCTCAATTCTCTAACTAGACCAATTATAGAGCAACTGCTGGCCAAGTAACTTTCTCCATTCATCACAGCTGGCAGAGCATACACACTGCACTAGTTCTGCTGCATTTAAAGCCTTCCCTGTAGACAGCAGGTGCCTGAAAGCATGATTCTTTTTGGTGCAAACCCAAAATCACTCAAACATCATTTGAAATCATGACTGCACTGAAAGAAGCTGGTCACCCAGTACTTCATGTGCATGCAGACCCCATTTCAGATTACCCAGCTGATCACAGGAGAACAGAATGTCATGCACAAAGCTTTCCTCTGCCACCATTTGTTCAGGCTGCAAACAATGCACCAGCCAGACTGGCCGCAACTGCTCAGAAAACCCTAACCCTCCAGGAAGAGGGCAAAACCAAGTAGGAGTGAACAGCTCCTCTCACAGATCACCAGTGCAGTGTCCCTACCTGCAAATGCTGGCTCTACCTGGCAGGGAACAGAGGCACATCAGACACGCAGCCAGGCACATGAAACAGCAGCCTAGTCCAGAGGAGGGACATGTCTGCTCCACACTGCTATTCTGCTTACCCCTCTGGGCACCCCAATGCCATGATGGCTCTAAGTGGCCACCTCAGCACAAACAGATGGATAAATGTGTGAACAGGGAACACAGGTGAAACATGCAGTATTGCAGAGGTCAGGTTAAATGGTTGCACTGTTCCTGCCTTGTCCTAAAGTGCTATAAACTCCATAAAATGTGGTGAGTAATTCAATTCTCCAAATCCAGTTATCCCATATCCCCAGGACATTCTTCCTCTGCCCATAATTCAGCTGGTTATTAAATGTTAGGGTTATTGCATGAGCTTAGAAAAACTGTCCAGCAGTAAAATGCATCAAATTCCAGAGTACAGTACAAAGACTGCTGTCATCTCCCTGTACAGCAGGTGTAAAAAAGCAGTGCTCAGGATTAACCAGTAACAATAACCTCCTCTAGCCTATCAGGTGTAATTTAAACACGAAGTTGGCTCTCCCCAGCTCTTCCACAGTTGTATCAATCTACTGCTGAAAAACTATGTATGGGGTAAACATGCATTTTCAGTATTTATGCGACACCCAGCATTCATCGATCTCAAACACAGCTCTAAAAATGGTCTCCAAACCACACTTACGTGCCAACGCCAGGATTTAGCACCATACAACCAGGTCTGAGACTCAATCCATAGAGATGTTGCACTGGGAAGGAATACTGCCATTTCCATCTTGGTACAACTGAGACAGAGCGTGGGTGAGGGCTGAACCATCCCACCCTTCTACAAAGAGAGTGGTTCCCCAAGCACAACACTCCACACCTTCAGGTGTGTGGAAACAAAGAGGAAGAGGAAGAAATAAAGCTGGGGTTCCGTAAAACTGTAAATCTGGCAGGTCAATCTGCACCACATAACATGGCCTCCATGCCCATTTCCTTCTACCAGTTGCAACCTGTACCCAGAACTTCCAGGGCAACTTTTATCCAGAAGACTTTCTGACAGAGCAGGCATCTCTCAGATTACACACAACCTGTCACATCAAGGCTGCCATAGTGCTTACCATTGCAAACACCTCTCTGCATTCCGCGGCCAGTCTAATGGAAGTGTAATCACCCCATCACACCTGGGCAAATTTGTACAGCCCAGGGGGATTTGAAAGCACACGGCTCTGCTCTTTTTGAATGCACGCACCAGAGGATTCAAAAGCAGCTAATTCAGCATTGGGTCAAGAATCAAGAGAGAGATATGTAAGGCACAGGGCACCTTGTGCCTACACCCTTCCACAGCAGCATGTACAGCCTGCACAGGCCATCACAGGGCATTTCAACTTACATTAGAGGCTCACCTTCAGCTTGGTCCCACCTCTGTGTTTCAGCTCTGAGCACCCCTGCCCTCCACAAAACATCAAATGCTTTTAAAAAGCTGGTTCCAGCAGCTACTGCCCTGCAACTCCTTGCTCAAAATCCCCATTTACCCTAAAGCCTGAGGCAGGCAGACTGCTGAGAGAGCACCAACAGATCTATGGGCACTGCTCACTGACTTGCATCTTAATGAATAATTACCCAAATGTATATCTTTATACATTGCTAGTTCATATGCCTGCTTCCCCCAGCTTCCTTACACTTCTACCAGGCAGCAAGAAACTACTACAGCACAAGGAAATTACATCTGTGGGTTACAGACTGCACAACAGAGAGCAAGATGGTATTAAGGGGGCAGGCTAATCCACCACATGAGGATTAGTTCCAATTTTCACATTTATGTGAGATCGGGAGGAGTCTGTTAGGGAAGTAGGTATATGAGAGAAGGAAAAATGATTCTCAGAAATTAAAAAGAAAGAATAAACAGCACTCAAGATGTGACTGGAAATGTCAAAATGAGTGCCACAAGACTTAGCAGCTGCCATGTTATCATTCTCTGAAAGCAACTCTTGGAATTTAAAAATTATTTTTGTTCCCATGAGAAACTGCTTCCTCTTCTGGGAAAATACATCAGCACGTGTATGGGGAAGGGAATCTTACGAAGATTCTTGTGGAGGCAACAGGCTCAGAACGGAGACTGCCCTCTCCCTTCCCCTGTGAAACAGGGGAGTCTCCAGACAGGCTAGAAGTCCTCATTCCACCTCCTGCTCCCATTTTCCAGGATAGTACCTGAAGATCACAGTTATTATCTTCAACCTTAAACAGCTGGCTGGAGAAAACCTGAGCATGCTGATGTTAATGAAAAAAATCAAGACAATTATAGAACAGTAGACAAATGCAGGAATAATCAAAAGGGCTAATACAATGATTCACATAACTGCACACTAACTAACCTGACATCCATTTCAGAAGGGAAGATGAAAAAAAAATGCACAATACTCAGATGTTAATGTAGTAAAATAACAGGTACGCAGCAGATTCCCATCAAGGCTTTTTGAAGCATACAAAGCACAACCTTCTCATCAATAATCTGGAAGTAAATACAAAACCTCTGCTGATAACATATGCAGACCATTTAAAAAGATATATATATATAGTGAAGAAAACACCTTATCCTTGAGGATTTCCAGTGATTTTTCCCACCAAAACCAGGAGAGAGCAGTTACAGCATTTATTTTCACAAGGAGATGACCCAGGCTTCCCAGGGAAGGAGAAGAAACCAGGAGGAGCATCTGCCTGCAGGCTGGAATTGGACAAACTCCAATTTGAATAGGTCAGATATTGAGCAGATTTTGATGGTGACCAACATCTGTCACCAATTACTAATGAAAATGGTGGCACCTCCCCCTGCCAAAATCTTGTAATCAAAAATGAATGAAAGATATACTCCAGACAAAAAAGACACAGTCCTCAGGACAGCAACAAAACAGTCCAATTCAGAGATCTATCTAGATGATTTAATGCTCCCTTTGAACTCCAAACTTTATGAATCTGAGTGTCCATATAGACTCCAGAGACAGAAGGATGCAGATTTCAAATAAGCAAACCTAGAGGCTTCTACAGGTACTCAGGAACACGTTTCACTTTTCTTTTGAAGGCTATATCTGCTCTAGGCAGACAAAGATTACTTTAACACAGATACATTCACTGATGCTCTATTAAGCCTGCCAGCATTGTCTAGTCAGAACTAGGGGGGCTCTGCTAAGGTCCCAAATCATAAATTGAACTCGCTTCAGCTTCCATTCCAACCCCATTCGTCTTTGTGACATACAAGGAACCATACAGTGCTGACTTTGAAGCTATGGCAGCAGAAGTCCAAAGGTTGAGGGCACGTTGATCTGGCCACAGCTCTGCAGTAGATGTGCCCAGACCTCTTCTAAATTGAGCTGCTGCTGCCCTTCCTCCCCCCAGACAGAAAAGGGACCTCAAACTCCAAACCAGGTTTTCTTTGAGAAGGCACTAAAGTAGATAATTTTTTTTGTTAACAAACAAAATACAGCATGAGAAAGTGCTGGCAGAAGAGCTGTCAACAATTCCTCCCCTTGCCCATTGTGCTGATGCATCACGTGTCTTTTTTTCCACTTTGCTCCTAACCCATCCACTTGGCAGGTCTGTTTCATAAAATCTCATGGAAAACTCTACACAGTGCCATCTAGGTTCTCCTTTCCAAAACACCTTGGAATTCTAGAAGTATTTCTCTTCCCCTCCTTTCTGAGCAAGCATGTAGTTTCTGCCTTCTGTTGGGCTCTCCCTCACCTTGCTCCCTTCATCCACTCCACCTATTTTAAGCACAGGGTACGGGAGGCATCCCTCCTGCCCTCCACTCAGCCACCTCTTTAAAGCAACCACAAAAGGGAACAAATCAGCCACACGTGTACCATCTCTCTTGGTTCTTTGTGCCAGAGAGGCACAAGCTCAAGGGAAGAAACAACCTGCTCCAAACCAACTCCTCAAAATGCAAATTTTACACAAAAGCACAAGATGGTTAGCTCTCAGCACACTGCAAGGGGAGAAGCACAGTGTAGACACCTACAGTGCAGATTTCAGCCTAAGCTATGCAACAGAAACGAGGTCCATGCTGTTCTAACTGTGGACAACTTTAAGGCTAACTCCATGGGATCCACCCATGGCAATTAAGAAGCTTAAAACCACCTATTTTAACAACACAGTCCCATCTTCTACTAGCAGCTTTGAATAAAGCTGCTAATAGCAACCAAATACAAAGTCCAGCTTATCAAAACAACATCTGCAAGTTTCAAATGGCAGCCTCCTAACAATCTTGTCAAACAACCATGACTCTTGAAGAAAAATGAGCCCCCCCCAAAATATAAGCAAGTTTCATTTGCAGAACTAAACACTATGCTTTCCTAAATTCACACAGAAAAAAGCTCTTCTAAAATCACAAGCCACGTTCTGCTCCTCTAGATATGCGTACCTGGTGCCACTTACTCCTCTAAACACACAACTTTAGCGGCAAACAGCAGGGAAAGAAACGCTTGTCCCTGCCAGTGAGGGTGACACTGAATGACAAAGCAGTGTAGACTCTGCCTATTGACAAAAAGAGATGGTGCACACAATCAAGCTGCCAGTTGATTCCACCCTGCAGATAGTGGGGTGAAAACACAGAGAACACGTGTAACTCGCTGTACGTTACCCAGGAGACTTGCTAGAGTCCGCATGTCCTTCTCCATCAGCGTGTACATCTCCTCCTCTGAGAAGCGGCCAATGCCATGGCCAAACATCTCCCGCTTCACAATCCCTTTGGTCAGATGGCACAGGATCCATTTCAGCAAGTCACTGAAGGGGCCAAAAAGCGAAACCATCTTCTGCGTCTCATGAAGATTTTCCACCCACTGGCAATAAGTTAAAGTCCTAGAAGGATACCAAAATAAGTTACAGTGGTGTAATACCCAAACAGCCCATTCAAGCCCCTGCAAAGGCTCACACAAAGGGTAGGCAGCAAACTAATGCTGAACTTCCTAATGCTGAGTGCTCACTGCCCTGATGGAGAGGTGGTTTCCAGTGAAGAGTAGACCCTGATGCAAGTCAAGAGTGACAGCAGAGAAAACTTGACTTTGTGATATTTGCACAGACCGCCCAGTGCTTATTCCCTCAGTAAATCATGACTCACTTCAAGAGAAAATGAGGTTCACATTGAAATATAAAATAAAAGTTCACATAACAAAATGCAGTGCCAAAAGGATTTATTAGCTATAGATGACTGACTGTGTAGACCTGGGAAAAATAACAAGACAGCCCGCAAAGAAACCAGTCTTTCCTACAAACATATACTCCTCATCTTCTATACTGCTGAAACTTGGCCAAGCAACTGTGCCCTAACGTAAATATTGTAGCCATCACAGGGTTTGTCCTCTATTTTTCCTTCTTTTCAAAATGCCAATTTCATCAGCAAGGTATTTCTAAAGGACTCCTGTATTTTAGGCTGCATTTCAGCTGTACTGAATGGCAAATATATTCTTTTGAAAGAAAAAAAAACAACTTGTCTTTGCAGGTGAAATTTTTGTTTCCCAAGTGATTTTTTTTGTTCTTTACTAATATTGTAGGCAAACAAAAATTTGATTTGTTGTTGTCACTACTCAAGAAACTTGTGAAAAAACAACATTAACTTTCTGAATATCTAGCATCTTCTGACATTACAAAGAAACCAAAGGCACCACATAAATTCTGTGATCAAATTCAAGGAATGTTGGAAAAAGGACTAGAAACATCTCAAAGTAGACATATGAAGCCAACAGAGTCTCAGAAATATTGCAAGTTGATACCCATATTCTATTGTGTTTGTATTAGCTTCCAAACTGAAAAATATAAATGTGGATTTACATATTTGAGGTCACATAAAAACAGGCTCATGGAGACGTAATAAAAATAGTGAAACTGGACCAAAAAGTTGAAATATCAAAAGTTGCAAGTTCACACATGCAATTATATTAAACACAAAATTAATAATCAAATGTTTCCATTTCCAGTATGATTAGAGCTCCATTTTTTTTAGTTTGGAATATGACTTCCAATTGCACATAATCTCCTTAATGCTGACATGGATTATTTCATTCAATTTAAAAACAAACAAAAAATAGTAGTAGTATCCCCTGGAGAACTCCTGTGAATTTCTTTTCTAAATCAAACTCCTGTATATCATGAAGCTGAATTCAGCACTACCATCAGGGAACAACTATGTTTACAATAGGAAAATGATCTAACCTTTAAGTTTCCTCAGATTCTTTACTTGGATTACCAATAACAAGAAGTAAAAGGAGAGTATTTGGCATAACAGCAAATCTACTTACAGCTCAAATTTAGAATGCTCCTGACAGAGTGGGTGAAAGGCATTTTAATTCTATTAAAGATTGTCCACTGCAGGACAATGCCCTCTGCTCAAACTGATTGCATTAAAGTCAGTAACAGTGAGGCATGTGCAGGTTTTGCTGCAAATGCATGAATACTGAAGAACAAGATGCCCCTGCTACGTTACTGGTGGCTTTATCCTCAACAGAGGTTTTCTCCACAACCTCTTTTGCTGTATTAATGACAAAAGCATACCACTGACACTTCACACACTTCAGTACCACTCTTCCAACTGCTGGTGTCCTGCACAATCCTTGTTTTTCACAGTGGGTAAATAAACTCAAGTCACTGGGCTGGTTGCATCACAGCAGAGTTTGAAACAAAGGCAGAGTTAGTGAGAGGCACCAGCACAAAATGGGAATGTGAAGCAAGCAAGCACAGGAATAAATAGATACTGAAACTCCCGAAATATATAACCTTTGTCTAGAAAACATGGTGTGAGATTGCCTTGTTCCATGACCAAAGGTAAAACAGGATTTAAGAAGGATGAAGAGGAGACTGGACTGAAAGCTTTAGGGTGCTCCATAGAGCAGAACATTTCGGTCGTCATGACTCATGAGCCTGAGACAGAACAAAGTCCCTTGGGCAGGTAGAGCCCTGAATAGGGCAAGAAGACTCTGGTCTTGATTGGAACACCGGGAAATAACTACAAATACTATCTATATCTGTAAATTACTATTTATTGCTTGAATAAACTAAGAAAAACTTCCTCTCTGAGAGCACTGCTGTATCTTGCTGCACAGACCCTCCTTCCCCAGCCTGGACCTGACCAGTTTCACCTCCAACTCTGCAACACAACTTAGTTTCTTTAGGATAACAGGCCTGGCCATGAAAGGGACAGCAAGACAGCAAAACAAAACAGAAAAAGAAAAGAGGAGACTCTGCTTCAGCACTTTTTAAAGCATCACTCCAGTCAACCACGATTAACGTAGCCCTGTGGGCTTGTCATCAGTATTGCTCACTCCAACCACACCAGCAAGCTGGTACTGCACCAAGAATGACCAACCATGTCCAGGATGCTTTTAATTTCATGAGACAAGATTAACAAGGTTTCCCACAAAGCTAATTAGCCTATGCATTAAAGTAAAAACACATTTCCCTAGCACTTGCTTGCTTTGGGGGAAAAGGTCTTTGTGTCTGGAAGAGGCAGAGAAGAGATCAAGCTTTTAATGATCAGGACACCAGTACAGAAAGATCAGAGCTGCACAGGATCTAGGTAATCCTGTTTAGGCTAAACTGTCAAGCACAGACTTATATATCTGCTTGTCATCTTGAATTAGTCAAGTTGCCACATGTCCCAAATCTCAAATTTATATGAGCAATGAAGGCCGATAAATAGACAACCACAGAGTTTACTTCTAAAATTGTATAGTTCTGAGCAGGCAAAAGGAAAGAAAATAGTAAGCTCAGATTCAACAGTTACAAGCACTTTTAAAACTGGCTTTACAAGCACTTTGTTGAAAGAATTCTATTCAAAGGCTCATTAATCTGCTTCCTACCAAAACATGCTCCCACCCATCACGCCTCTGCTCAGACTACATTACTAGAGTACTATCAACACTACAATAGGTTAAGGAAATGCCAGAAATCAGGTAGTCTACATAACCTACTTCAGCATAACTACACATTTTAAGCTACAGCTAGTATTTATAGGAAGACATGATTACTTTAAATATTGTCCTGAACTGAGCATTTTGGGAAGCATTAACAGTCCCATTTGTGCCAGCACATCTGTACAAATATTAAGTGTATAAATAAACCAAAAATGCTTTAAAGAGCAATGCCATGGAGGTAAAGCAAATCTGAAGACTAAATGTAACAGCAGCTTTGGCCTCAATACATAAATCAGGAGAGGAGATGGAGAAAGTGACTCATCAGTAGCAGCTTGCTTGATTATCCCCAAACTGTCTGAACATCAAGAAAAGGGGGAGTTGTTCACAAGGATGTGAACTGGGGGTTATTTTTCCTATCTGACTGGAATTTCTTGATATACAAAAGGATTGTAACAAATTAATTCCACAGTCAACTGTAGAAACCCCACCTACTGTGCAGCTTCCCACAGCAATTGTTTTTTAAGCCATGTGGGACGTTCAAGCCTCATCATTAATAGGAGAAACATCACTCTTACAATTGGCTTGATGTATTTAAACATTTATACTATAAACATATTTTATGTTTAATATGTGGTAAGTCCGAATACCAAAGTCAGATTTATTTGTATTCTCATACCACACTTTTCCTGTACTTCAAGCATTCACCACATATGTTTACACCATCTTCTTGAAAGACAAGGCAAAAAATGAGTTAAATACATATGTGTGCACATGTATACATACACGCACTTATAAATCACTATGGCTGGTTTAACTGTATTGTCAAATACAGTCTAAGGGATTAGTGTGGTTAAGCTGCATATTCAAGGCTTTAGGTTCTTACTAAGCACATCAGTGTCACTAACCTGAGATCCATCACCTGAGATTAAAGCACGAGAAAGCATTTCACAGTGACTGGCAGCCCTCCAGGCACCAGCAGCTGCTGGGCTTGAAAGCTGGCAGTGCCACCGAGCCCAGTGTGCCAGCACCAGAAGGACATGAGAAACAGATGTCCTCAACCTATCTTACCGCTGAGGTCCAATCCCACAAATGTGCTGCAGATACACCAAAAACTTAACACATCTTAAAGGTGGCCGTGGATGTCACATTGGTTTCTGAGGGCACACAGCTGCTGCAGACAATGGAGGCAACCCAGGGTAAGTGAGCAGTTGACAGAGGTCTGCATCAGAGCCTGGACCTGCAGTCAGCACAACAGAATTGGTCTGCTCCCATCTCTTCCCTGCTGACTTAGCCCAACACCCATTTAGGTTATCAGTCTTATAGTCTTTTGCCAATATAAATGTAGCAAAAGCCTAATAGTTATAGCATTCCCCAGAAACAGGAGCTCCGGCACCAGCTCCAAATTAGTCTTGAGCCTCTTGGAGATAGACTCTAATCCAAGAATGAAAATAGATACACTCACTCAAATGCTGTCTTTCTGTCTGACCCCTGCTAGGTAGCCTAGGGCAGAGACAGGGTGTCTAGAGGCTGAGGTTCACAACAGCTCTGCACTGCTCTCAGCTCCAGCCAGAGCAGCAATTTCCACCTGTAAGAGGCACTAATTGGTAAAGATGAGCAATTATCTCAGCAAAAGCAAAATGTTTCAGGAGGAAATGCTAAGCACCTACCAGAATTACCTCCATCCGAAGACAGCACACCACAAGATGTACTTTGCTGCTCTGTTCGATAAATGTCCTATAGTATTACTTATTCATGATGAGGCTACTTTGCATGCTGCTGGCAGTGAGACACTATGAATCAAGTTTTATATCACTGCTTTGGAGGCTTGATTTTATAAACCTCATCTGCAGAAAGGTGATCACTGTTTTAAATTCCTCACAATGGGACTTGAGGACACCATGAGCAAAGCCTAAGCTTCTGGTGATAAATTGGGCAGGTTCAAGAACCAGTGTGAAGGGATTCTGCAACCACAGATACAATGCTAAAGGGGTCCTTCACAGCTAAAGTCTGATCTTATTTTGGTGTATCTACAAGATAGTCAAAGTTGTTACCCAGGAATTACAGTGCTACAGCTGTGATGCCTCATAGCTCAGATTTTGCCTTGTACAGAGAACCAGCATGGTATAACCTCACCAACATAGCAAGCTTCTGGCACAGCCACACAGCAGGGACATACAATAAGACTTACAGTTGGATGTTTCACTATGCTGCAGCAAAAATGCATGCCTTAAGGAAACTCAGCTGCAGGAAAGACAACAGGCATATAAGCCAGGTATGCATATCTCTAGTCTTACTTGGCCTAGCCACCACCCTGGGTCAGTGCCTGAATTTGGAATACCTGCCTCCCATGTTCCCCTACATCATGCCCAGCAGTGTCCAAATCAACTCGGAGGGAGCCTGGATGGACAGATAACAGCTTCACAGAGCAAAGTGTGGTTTGTAACTGACAGCAGCAGTATAAATTTGTCATCAGTCATGATACGTTTTAAACAGTTAAGTCTACGGACAAAAAAAAAAAAACCAAAACAACAAACAACAATGCTAAGGCAAGGAGATGGAGCATTAGGGGATTAAAAGGCCTCTTCCCTTTGGCAGCTGGAACAATTAAGGGGGGGAAAATGAACAAAAAAATGTTACATTTGCATGCTACCTGAGACATTTTTGAGGCTATGGCACTAACAGATGGGTATAACTGGTAAAGTTCACACTTCTTGAAAGGCAGAGATTATATTTCTAAACCATATAATTTTAATCTGCCAACTGAATGCTAAAATTTTTCCCAGGAAACACTAAAAATTATTTTTAAGAACTGTATGTACACATGTTGCTGCTAATCTTCCATCACAAGGTGAAAGAAAAAGCAGGTAAATGCATTCAATTTAAATTATGTGTTGTTTTGAAGAAAAAAAAAAAAGTGCAACATAAATGCAAGACTTAGCATAGCCAGGACTTAAATGCAGGCTAAAACACATGGGGGGGGAGGGGGGGAATAGAAAAAGAAAAAGCCTCATGCTTGTTGAGGCAGCCAATGCAGCATCCAAGATGCCATGTCTACTTGCTACTTCTATGAATCCAGACTGGAAAAGGCTTTTAAAAAGGAGTTAAATTTAAGGTGGGGAGGAAATCACAGGTATTCTTTTCAAAAGTGCCAGTAAAATGCATAAAGTACCAGCAAGGTTATATTCATGTTTTCCATTCACACATGTACTTTAGCTTCCCAGAATACTGTGACTGTGTCCTATCAACTGACAGCATTGTCAACAACACATTAACAGGAGTATCCCGTGTTAAAGGAAGGACAATAATCCATATTCTAATCACACGCACAGATAACTGAAATCAGTAACTGTAAAAACACAGTATTCCAGATTCACTATGAACACCAATTTGTTCCCCTGCACCCCCAAACCACAAATGTAATGAGTTTTTGCTCCTTATTAACAAAGCTGTTTCTGTATGGAAGTCACATGAATCAAGACAGATGAACAGCCCACTGCTGCTCCCTTCTGCAAAGCTGCAGATGAAGGGCCCAACTCCTTACCTTGCTTACACAGCATGACAGCTTTTCAGAGGAATTACCCCTGGCTCATATTAGTGTACATAGAAAGAAGCTGCAGCTTTCCAGGGTGAAGAGAGTTGTAAAATTAATAATTGGGTACTCAATTATTGCCAAGCTTTCTGCAAGAGAAAATAAGCATTCACACCCAGGCACAAGCATAGGGGCAGATTTGACAGCACAAGAATGCAGCCAGCTTTGCCATGCAAACTCACCAGTACAAGTGCTCCTCCACCATTTTTGTCACGGCTCTGGAAACAGCTCTTTCATGTGGACCGAGGTGTTTATTCAAATTCACTCCAAGTTTCTCTTCCAAAAAATCAATAATGAACTCAGTGCCAGATACTTGAGTGTGATTGTATTCAATCCAAGGCATTTTCCCTTGAGGGGAAAGTTTTCCATCAAAATAGTTCTAAGGAAAAAGAAAAGCAAGTAAACAAACAGACGCACAGACAAAAAAGGACCATCGGGTTATGTTTCAATGTGAGTAAAGCTTTTAAATATTTTTCTGTGTTTTTAAAGGCAACATTATCCAACAAACTTTTCTTTTGTTTTGTTTCATTTTAAATTAATACTCTACACTAATAGAAGCTGTTTAAATCAGAGCTCTTGCTCTGACTGTCTATAGGATAACTGAGATAAAACTGTCTCCAGGCCCAGTGAGGTGTTATACACTATTATATTAGATGCCAAGTGACAAAGTATTATTTCAGTACCCAGGTTATTTAAGAGTTGGAGGTGCTCAGATCTCTCAGAAGGCTGGATCCATTATTCTCAACAAGTTTTTAATCACAGGACTCAACTACATTTGGCTTTTGCAGAGAGCAGCACTTTTAATGTTAAATGGACTTTATAAAGATTAACTCATTGCCTATCTTGGACAGCTGCACTACTCCCGAGGATGAAATGAACACAATCACCAGTGTATAATGAAAGGCATATCATTCTCCCACTGAGCAGGAAGGAAATCTGCCTTTAACTTCCCCTCTCCCTTCTGCCACTTTGTAACTTAGAAATCCCATACGCTTACAGACACAATTGTTACAATTGGGTCTCTAACAGCCCAACACCAGTACAGCACTAGTACATAGCTAAACACTGGTGTGTCTGCTCAGGATAGCACTCACACAGAAGTAGTCATCTATCTTCCCCCAGTTTACAGTTGAAGAAGGTGAAACAGAAACTTTATGCCTCATGCAATGAACAGGAGTGGAATTGCTGGCTGTCAAAACGTGAGCAGACATTTAACTTCAATTGTGTCCTACTCCTGAAAGCAAAGACACAAGGCAGAGCTTTTTTCTCTTCCTGTGATTCCTGTCCTTGAGTCCTATTATTTAGTGAATGAAAAAAACCTACCTCAGAAAGCTGAGCCATAAGGGCTCACAATAAAGACCCTGCACTATCTCTGGCACTCACCTTAAGCATTTCCAGATTGCCAGAGGTTTTGGGTTAGCAGTTCTGGACTAACTTGTTTAGGTCCCAAGTATCTACCCTTCCTGAATCCACTAAAGACGGATTAAGGTCCTCTTGCAGCAAGGAGCATACACCAGAATGCTCCTCCAGCTCAGTCTAAGAGCACCACATTCTGGCTGTTGTTCAAACACAGATGTGCAATGCACTACGAACACGCAGTCATTCCTGGAGGCCCTTCCCTTGTGGATAAAAACACAAAACAGGTAATGCTGCTGGGAAAGCAATGTCTTCTGGTTGTGGCCTCTTCCGAGATTCCAGCACAAACAAATAGCATGTTAGGGACACCTGATTACATAATGTCTCACCTACTGCATCCTTGCATGGATGAATAAAGCAGCCAAGTCCCTTTGCTTGCATGTGTGGGTGAATGGGCGTTATTACTCTGGTCCATGGGAGAAACTCTAAAACTGCTGAACATCTGAAACCAAAAGGAAAGCACTGCCACATCCTTCCACCTTCCAGACCTTTACTTCATCAAGAAGGCTCTTTCAACACCCAGGTTTCCATAATTTTTCATTATGAATTTCCTATATAACCACAAACCTTTTCTGGAACTACACAGTGTGTCTATATGGCACTGACCATTTCTGGCTTAACCTTTGGTTAAGCCCTTCCGGTATGAGATCTCTCTTCTTGTGCACAAACACTGGTGTTTCGTAGAAGATGCTAGACTTGAAGATGTGTTTATTACGTACTGCAATTACTGTAGTCCATATCATTTGCAATCCAGAAAAAAAGCAAGTTCTTCTTATTCAGCTGCATATTTCTTCAAACACATGTATATATAATAAATAAAAACACATTGCATAAAAACTTGCTAGTACTGCATTAATATTACACTCTCAAAAACACAAATGAGAGCTAAGGTTTTCATAGCAAAATTGGTTTGCCTAAACTTTAAAAGTCTTTTCAGGATTTGCATGTTTCATTACATACAGTTTATCAAACAAAATAGGAAACATCTTAGAGATGTTTCTTAGGAAACACAACCTGAGAAAACCTTAGTCTCTTGATAAATCTGTTATACTGTTCTTGTATCCACTGTTCTCAGATGGGTATTTTTAAGCTTGAAACCTCAGTATCCTTACGGCTGCTACTAATTGCCACCAAATGTTCCACTTACAAATTGTTCCAGCTGCAAATCGGGAAAAAGCTATGTTATTATCATTTCTTTTATTTTAAAAACAACCCAACAAAATATCCCCTCACACCTCATAGTACATTTAATTGAACTGCAGCCTACAGAGCAATAATAAGAAGAGTCCCCCAGAACCTCATTTATAGAGAAATTTATAAACAGAATGGCACAGGGAACTTCTGGGGTAATTTTATAGTACTATCCAGAAGAAATTAGGCTCCACATTTTCAGTTACTGCTGCTTATGCTTTTACTTTTACTGATGTCTCTTCCCAAGTAGCCTACCATCTTTGCAGCCTGTGCTAATTATTTATCAGATTACATTAAACCCTCACCGTTTCACATTCAGGAGGGAATCAAGAAACACCAAAGGATCTCCACAATAATGGAGAATGGGCTCTTTCAAAGCAAGCTTTATCAAGTAAAGCATCAAAGGTTTTGAAAGAACAGCCAGGTACTATGACAGCCCAGCCAGGGTGGGGCTGCCCTAATTATTTTTGGTGGGGAACTCGTACCCAGAAAGGCAGCTTCAAGAATACAAACACATTACAAGAGCACATCTGCTGGGAGAAATTCAGGTGAGAGCAAGGTAGGAATGTGCCACCCAGTTGCATTTCTCACATGCCATTAAAGCCTTGCTGTGTAACACAGCATATTATTCGACAGTCTGATGCACTATAATAAACATAACGAATTGAAAGAGTAAAAGCAGTCTGACCACACTGCTGCCTTTTCATTTCAAAGCAGCCTCTTCCTGGGAAGGTGATGACCATAGCAAATCTCCAGAGGTGAGCCCCGGCACCCACCACCACCTGGAGTGCCATCGCTTCTCTACCACAGCCCCCATCGGCACACAGAGAAGTGAGGTATTTCCTCCTGCATCCAGCCATACTCCCTGCTGGAGAAGCCATCAAGTGCCTCTGTTACCTCCAGTGTTCTACAGGTAATGCAGCCACAAGCACATGAATCAAGTCTCCATGTAGTCCAAGTACAGGAAAACTCATAACTCCAGCTGAGAATGGATGTACCTGCTTGCTCCCCTACCACTTAATCCCACAGCAGCATCCACACCTTCCTCTACCCAGAGCAAAACACAGCACTGTACTCCTAACACAAGGGGAGAAATAGAACCTTGCCTCTTCTGGGGAGAAAAAAGCTGCATCCTCAGCTTGTAAGCTTAGCTCCAAACTTAACTCTAAAACCATGCATAGGGTTGGCAATCCCACAAACACCTCAAGCCTCTATAAAACAGCACAGATAAAATCAGCAACCTGGTGTTACCAGCACGCACAGGACCCATTCCTGCTCCTCCAGCGTGGCACACAGAGAATGTGGGCAACCAAGGTGGATTAAAACCAAATAAACTAAACCTTCATGGCTCCAGCTAGGCCAGCTATGGCCCAGTCTGATCAGGCACAAAGAAGCACATGCAGGGAAGGACAACTGGGAGCTGCTAGACGTAAGACTGTTGCTTTTGGTGGTCCTGCTGACCTACATCAGCTTAATGTGGTCACAGCTAGCAAGCAGGGATAGAAACAGATGCAACCCCAAAAAACAATGCTGACCTTCAGTATAGAAAAAATAAAGAGGGGAGGATAACCCTCTGGAAATCGGTCTCCATCCAAAATGCTGAACGACTCACTTCTATCCAGGGTGAGCTGTCTGAATGGCTCCATCCTGAACCGCACAAATGTGCTGTGCTGTCTTTTACAAGTGACCATACCCTGCCACAACCATCTCTTATACTGCAGCTTTCTTTAACCACTTTCCACCAAAGCAACTTTAATGAACACAAACATCCCAACCACATCAACTGCCATTAGAAAGAAAACAGATCTGGCCAAAACAGTTTTTCTTTCAAATGCGCATTTTCTACCCAAATTACACTGGGTGGAGAAACAATGGGTACTAAGTCCTCCTGCTCCAATGACATGTTTAAACTTCAGTACCTTGCAGGTTCTGTACACCTGAATGTAAAAAATGCATCCCACAGATGGAAATCTTCCTCTTTATTGCTCTGAAGAATCTGATTCAAGTACCATTAAATCCTAAGATAATGAACATTAAACTCAGGCTTTTAAAATGTACTAATTAGGGATTTTCATTCACTTCCAATACAAACGAGTTGAATTGCATATGAAGCCAAATAAATATCAACCACAAATGTGTAGGAAAAAAAAAAAGTTGTAATATGGTTGGTTTTCCTCTATAAAATACTGGACATAAACAAAACATTCCTCTTAGCACCTTGGCATGCTGCAGTAATAAGTGACTTGAACCCAACTGGGGTGAGCATGCAACTTACCCACAGCTCAGCCTCTTTGAGACAAAGAAGGATGACAAATTTACATAAGTGAGGAGCTTTCTTCTGCTCAAGATCCTCATTATATTTATCACCATTGTTCCATTACCTGGAATGCACTCAATGCTTTACACAAGCAGGCAAGAAACTGGCCCCATGTTTCAAAGAGCCTGTATGCTATATAGCTTGCCGACACCACATCAAGGCACACGCCAGACTCATGGCATTGCAGCTCAACCCTGATACTATTCCTGTTCTCATGGCTTTCATTCATCAGACTAGTTCAAGCTTCATCCCCTGCCCTGTGGGAAAATGGCACGGTATGCACCCAACCACAGTTAAGGAGCAGTGTTCACAACCTCTAAAAGCCATCCTGTCTCCCTTCACTGGGAGGAAGCACCAGTGATGGGAGGTGAAGCAAAAGGCATGCACGTCTTCCCAGAAGAGCTCTAAAGAGAAACCCTTCAGAAAAGGAAGAAGCTGCAGCTATCAAATCTTGATCTCTACAGCATGGTCAAATTCAAAGACCATTATGCTTTAGGTTTGGGGTGTTATTTAGTATCCTATAAACTCCAGACTACATTCCCACTTCAGCATTTCCAGTCAAGTTAACTTCCAACATTCATGTAGCCTTGCCAGTTAAATCTAGAGCTGTTCCAGATCAATCTCATTTCAAGCCACATCTTCAAAGGTTACATACCAAATTGAATTGAAGACATGGAGTGTACCCACCTAGTTGTAGGTGCATGTTTACATCTTCCTGGGTGAGACAGACTCGGGGGTGGGGGGAGAAGGAGGGAGACAGGATGCCTATTTGCCATTTCACACAATTATAGCTGCAATATAGGAAATTAAAAAGGAAAACAGGCCAATGTACCTGGTAGGGCAGATCAGCCATCCTCAAGTAAGTTTCCATTTTCAGACAGAATGGAGATAAACTTGGAACACCATTGGTAGGCCTTGAAAACTGGTGCAGTATGATAGCATCTTTCGAATCCAGCTCTTCCTCCTTCCTGTCAGAAACAAAGCAGAATTAAAAACAAATAAATAAATAACCAAACCCAAACCGGTGTGTGATCCATCAGCTCACTGAACACACACAGGAAAAGCCCTGATAGAGGCAGCTCACACACCACGGCCTGCAGCAGTGAGGTGATGCTCCGATCTGGAGCCCAGTCCGCTCTGGGGCTCTGCTCATCCAGCACCAGTGAGCGCAAGCAGTGCCCGGCACAGCACCAGCACAGGGGCTGCCAGCCCCTCGGCCGCCCTGGGCCACCTGTGGAGGCGACCGCGGCCCCTTCTGCCTTCTGCGCTACTGCGGACGGCAAATGGGGGAAAACCGGGTTACAAAAAGGGGTAAATGGCAAAACCCCGGAGGAGCGGAGGTACCAGCCGGCCAGGCCCCGAGGCCCTCTCTCCCTCAGGTAAGAGCCGCCTCAGCCCCACTCCGCCGCGGGCAGCGCCAGTGCCCAGTGCAGGCCCTGCCGCCGCGGCCCCCGCCGCATCCTCACCGTATGGCCAGCAGCTCGTGGATCACGTACGCGGCGGCGGCCAGCAGCGCGCCGCCCGTCAGGTACAACGTCTTCTTCCACCAGGAGTCGGGGCCCAACGCCGCCATGGTGCCGCCCGCGCCCCCGCCCGCCAGCGGGAAGGCGACGATCTCGCCCCCATAGAAGGCGGGCGGCGGCTCCTCGGGCCCCGCACACCACCCCAGCGACAGGCTGCGGTTGCGGCTCAGGTCCGCCACGCAGGAGCGGGGCGCCGCCAAGCCCACCCCCCACAGCATGCTGCGCCCGAGCACTGCATCCCCCGCCGAGCACTCAGCCCCGCACCTGCCCTGCCCTGCCCTGCCCTGCCCTGCTCGGTTCGGCCCGGCCCAGCCCAGCCCGGCCCGGCCCGGCCCCGCCCGGCCCCGCCGCGGTGGGCGGCTCCGGCGGCTCCCTCAGCCTTCCCTGCGCGGCTGCGCAAGGCGGCAGGAGGGGAGGGTTGGGTTTGTCCTGCCCTTGCGGAGGTTCCCCCGCCGGCCCAGGGCTGGAGTGTGATAGTAGGGGTAGGCAGCCGCTGCCCCGAAAGGCAGGGCTAAAATGCGTGCGGGACTGCTGACCGCTCTCCGCGAGTGGGGTGTTGTGTGAAAGCCCGTCCTGCTGAAATAGCCGTGATCTGAGCAGGGGCCTCGTATGTTACCCCGTATCTGGGGCGGCCATCAGCCACCCACCTACCCATCACACCGCGGTGTCTGGCTGCTACCGCACGGGTCTCTTAAGAGACACCCCGCAGTAGTTTTTTGTTCCTCTGGTGCTCGGTGACAGGGGAGAACGCCTTTACACGCACAAAGGGAAGCAAAGTGACTTCACATCCCTCAGCCCACAGGGTAGCGGGATCTTACTGGCACTGAAGGTCCCAGCGCATCCTGGGCTGCCACCTCCCCGCTGCAGGAGAAGCCTTGTGTGCTCCGTGATGGCATGACCAGGACTCACATTATATTCTGCCCAATATCCACAGCTCTGCACATCACAGTGACCCTAAAATGCAGATGGTGCCATTTGTTTTATGATTAATATGGCTGCCCAAATGTTTAGTCCTTCATCAGATGCTGTGGTGTGTACACAGCTCTTCCAGAGAGTTCCTGCAATTTACATGTTTTATTAAGCCACCAGAGTCAATAGAAGTGACCTGATTTTTCGTACAAATGGAGCAACCTTCAGTCTCCAGTAGGAGATAGATGCGGTCTATGACCAGGGCTTTGTAGATCAGATTTGTAGGGCTTTACCTCAGGGTATAGGAAAGATTAGACAAAGGAGGAAGATGAGCTGAGTTCAAAGCCATATGCCAGCTTCTCCAAGTGCCAGCAGTGGCCAGTTTTGCACTTAGTTTTGCTGTGCAACATCGTTGAGAGCAAGTGTCTCTGCCTCCTGCCTGCACCCATCAGGAACACTGCTGTGCTCTGGCATTGTCCTGCAATAGCTCCTTGCAAAATTCCGATTATATTCCTCACTTTTAACTTGTTCTTTACGGGTGTTCAGCAATCACAGGCTACAGCACAAGAGCCTCATGTTTGATATATAGCATGTGTTTGACCCTGCGCTGACGCCCCGCTCTTGGGAATCAATGGGATCAGAGCAGTTTCAGGGACTCAGCACATCTCCTTGCAGATGCAGGTTGCCCCCTCCACATCTGTTGCGCTCCTTTGCCCTCCTTAGTGAGATGCTGGCTGAGCACCTTATTCACAACTTTTGGGCATTTCACACTATAGATGATGCACAGGTAGTGAAGTAAGAGTGGAATGTGGGAGCAGCAGCTTTTTTATGCCACAGCTGATGATTTGCAGCATGAGGTTTTGTTAAATTCTTACAAAAGGGCAATGAAGACACAAGGAAGAAAAGTGGGTTTTCTCTGCTACAGCACCTGTAAATCTCAGGCTGAAGATTTGTTTCAAGTGGCAGACAGCCTAATAAATCTGGCCAGTCACAGTCTGCTGACTGGTCTCAGCTTTTGCTGCTGCAAGGGAATTGCTTGCTGTGTTACTGATAAGAGGGATCCAGTGACAGATGGGATCAAAGCTTCTGTGAGGGCAGGGAAAGGTCCTGGGTATCCACATCCCAGCTGCTGCCACTGCTTTTCTTTCAGAGGCAAATGAGCTCTCCTAAAACCTGTTTTGGGTCAGTGGCCAGCACAAGTGGGGAAAACCTGTGAGGGAGAGGAGAGAGGTAAAGAGGGAGTAAATCATTCTCCTCTGGTGCTGCCCTTGGCAAGGCAGGCAAGCCTGGTACTTTGGAGGAAGCATTAGTGCAATTTATGCTCTGAAAGCTTATGCTGTGTTTTGGTAGTCGTACTTGTGCTTTTGCTGGCATTGAGATGCTTTACAGGTGCAAGGAGACAGTAAGGCAAACCGGTTGCCCCGGGATTATTACAGCAGTACTCCAGTAGGAGTCCAGTGGGTCCAGAAGAACCTTGTGATATGTTACTCCTGTTCTGGGTGCAGTGTTTCCTGGAGGCTGCAGCTGTCCAATGCACAGCAATGTCTTGTAGGACACAGCACAGGAAGCCTCAGCTTAGAACCCATGTGCCTCATGGTATGTCAGATACAGATCCCCACAGACACCCCGCAGCTTTGCTGTGCTGCTCATAAACTAGATGTTAAGAGGTTGGTTATGATCTGCATAGCATTGACCAGACTTAGCCATTTAAAAGGTGTAGGTCCCAATACCACATCTTTGTAGCCACAGTGGAACAACAGCAAATAAAGAACATGGTACAAAACACAGGTTCTGTACCCTCATACCTGTCCTACACACTTGACTTGTTAGTGGTGCTCTGACAGCCTTTCTAAGACTCCTGCCAGCAGGTATTCAGTCCATTTGGCCTGGTAGTCGGGTAGCTGAGATGCTCTACAGGCAAGACAGCAAAGAGCGTGTCCTCAGCCTGCCTTTTCCCTGGCTGTGGCAATACCCATTCCTCCAGGGAAGGTGCACAGCCTCACAAGGCAGCACTGTTGCCTGTAGCCAGTGACTTGTATTAGAGAGGCTTATTAGCCAGAAGTAGTGCTGAGGAAGCCAAGCTGCAGTACTTTGGCAGGGGGTATCACTTTCTGCTCCTGTGCATCACAGGTTCTTGAGATATGGTCTGGTATTCCCACTGTTGCCTTGAAGCTCACAGGTGATGCCCGCTGGACATCAGCCACCTTGCTGTCTTGCTCAGGGAGTGTGGGAATCCAGCTCTGCATCTTTGCTAAATTATCAATTTTCTTTTTCGGGTGGGGAAAATAAGAGCTAACACTGATGCACCCTCATGCCTGTTTGGCTTCAGACACTGAGTGTGGCACAGTCTGGCACAGTCATCCCTCAGATATATTATCACAGAGAGCAAAACAAGACCTAATATGTTAAAGCACACTTTTACCTGTAATATGTTCTAGTGTGGCTACCTAAAGGAAGAGAGGACAACAGAACAAAATAAGTGGATTTCTTTAAGATAAAGCTAAGCTTACTTTCTTGCATAGCAAGCCAAATTTTTCTTCTGAGGTCTACAGTTTAATCTGGGGCAGGGAGGCACTAAGAAACTCATCAGTGTTACCAGATGTTGGTATAAAGACTCTTGATTTTCATTACATCAATGTGTTTTTTTTTCCTGTAATGCCTTTGGGTTCGCTGCACCTCTAAAAAAAGCCTGCAGTTAGCGTGGCGGGCTGCCTGTGTAGAGGGCGGCACATGTCAGAATCCCTGTTTGCAATGGGTCTCTGCAGAGTCCCACTGCAGAAGCTGTCCCATCTGTATTTTGGCTGAGAACTAACAAAGCTTTTTTGAAATTAGGTCTCACACTGAATGCCTCACACCAAGTTTTGCTTTCCTGTACTGTTGCTGACTGGGTTTGAGCAGCAGAGCATCACTTGCCAAATCTCCCCTGAGGCTTTGAGAAATAGGGTCACCCATCTTCCACTTGTCTCCCACACTGGTATCACCTATGGCTCCTACTTGCTGCCATTCTCTCTTCCAAGCAGGCGGAGTTCAGGCAGCAGGGAGCTGTTAAGAGCTCCATTACTCGGTATGGGTTGCATTTTCAGGTTGCTGTGCCTGAAGTGAAAGCATCTCGCTGTGCCCAGCACAGTGACAAGCTGTCCCCAGCCAAAGTGATACCCCTGCTCAGGTTGGACTCTCACTTTGTGTGCTTGCAGGGCATCCTACAGTGGTACAGAAATGCTTTCCTTCTCTTTTAAATAGAATTATAGAATAGTTAGGGTTGGAAAGCACCTTAAGATCATCTAGTTCCAGCCCCCTCCTGCCATAGGCATAGATGCCTCACACTAGACCATGTCTGCTAAGTCTCTGTCCAACCTGGCCATGAACTGCCAGGGATGGAGCATTCACAACTTCTTTGGGCAACCTGTTCCAGTGCCTCATCACCCTTACAGTAAAGAACTTATTTATACCTAACCTGAACTTCTCCTATTTAAGTTAAGTTAAGTTAAACCTGTTACCCCTTGTCCTACTGCTACAGTCCCTGATGAAGAATCCCTCTCCAGCATACTCATAGGCCTCCTTCAGATATTGGAAGGCTGCTATGAGGTCACCACAAATAGCCCAAACATACTGAGCCCTTGTCTGCAGAATAATTTAATAGGGTTTTGTTGGAGGGCTGAGTTTATGAGAGGGTGAAAAAAGGCTTTTTCATCACCAGGAGGCTCTCAAAGATCCTTCTGAGAGAGACAATCACTGACTGCTGGCAGGATTGGTTTTGTTGTAATATTAATGATCTCTCTGGGCAGCTTGAGTTTCATGTGCACATCTTTTTTAATTATTCAGATAAAAATAGCTAAGGTATAACAGCAAAACAGTCGTTCTGTGTTTCAGTTTGGATTTAGAAAAGGGGTTAATGATAACTTCAATGACATACAAAGGTACAAATATGTAGGAAATGCAAACCATCCAGAATCTAAACTGCCTCCATGCTATACAAAATTACCTGTATCTAAGTCCACATCAAGTACAATTCCAGCAGTTCCCCAAGGTTTACCTTGTACTTTCTGGTAAACAAAGCCATAACAAATACTACACACTTTTATAGTCAGATCTTTCATGTAGAACTTTCTTGGTAGCAGAAGAGTGCTGGGAACCAGCTACAAGCTGCTTGCCACAGCCCGTTGTGGCGGTTCCCACTCTGCCCATTTGTAAGTGCTCTCCCATTGACAGCATCCTCAGAAGAAGTAATATTTGCAGTATATACTGTCAGGACTTGGTTGGCACCTCTGAGCTGCCACATCTCTAACAGCTGTAAGGCAAAGCTGTGAATTAAACCCCAAATTTCAGTGCTGGAGCTAGGCTTCATGAGAGGGCATTCGGGGAAA